ATAAATAGAAAGAAAAGAAAATAGAAAGAAGAAAAAATAGAAAGAAGAGAAAATAGAAAGAAAGAAATAGAAAGAAAAAACTTTCTAAATCAATCATTCCACAATCCTAGGAATATATACAATTCTATTTTCAGATCTGAACCAGTAACCCCACGTTTTCCAACAATTCCTTTCCTCCCAAGACCTAAGCCACCAAACTTCTCCCCTGGATCCCATAGGAAGTCTCTCATCAATTCTACCCTTCTAACCCCTTTTGGAATCGTAAACACTAACAGAAAATAAACAGGTAAATTAGCTAGTGTAGACCTAATCAAGGTGATCCTTCCTCCCAGAGATAAGTAATTCCCCCCTTTTCTACTAAATATTTTATCCTGTATTGCATTGAAGTTTTATATTCAACATAGTTTTCAAGGTGCCAAGGCGAGGCTAGGTGACATGGGGCGCCTTGTCGCCTAGGCGATGGATTTTTTTAAGTGAAAAATACATATCCTAGGTAGTTCCCTAGGTTCCATAACCATCTTTATTTAATAACTATCCATAATTTTCATAAGAAAATTATAAACTTCATGTTTATGTCTAGAAAATCAACATATTTATGAGAAGAAAAAGAAGAAAGAAAAGAAAATTCCCCCCTTTTCTACTAAATATTTATCCTGTATTGCATTGAAGTTTTATATTCAACATAGTTTTCAAGGCACCAAGGCGAAGCTAAGCGACATGGGGCGCCTTGTCGCCTAAGCGATGGATTTTTTTAAGTGAAAAATACATATCTTAGGTAGTTCCCTAGGTTCCATAACCATCTTTCTTTAATAACTATCCATAATTTTCATAAGAAAATTATAAACTTCATGTTTATGTCTAGAAAATCAACATATTTATGAGAAGAAAGAAAAGAAAATTCAAAAAATATGGGGACTGAACCCCTATTTTTGTTATAGGAAAAGAAGAAGGAGGGGGAGGAGGAGGAGGAGGCACAAAATGCAAAAAATGGCAAAAAATTCAAAATATACATTTTACAATAGATGTTTCAAAAAATACCTATTATCTCAAATTAAAATACATAAACATAACATGGCTGATAGAAAAACATAAACATAACATGTGAAACATATTCAAAATGAAATTTAAAAATAAAATCAAACATAACAAATAAAACATATTCAAGTATGTAAGTAAAACTTTCAATCTCTTTTTTTTTCCAATTGCACTTCTTCAAATAACTAATATGATGTTAAACATTTTGCATTCCTGATTCTACAAACTACCTTTGTACCAACTACCAAGCCCCTTGAGGCAGGCTCAAATAAGTCCATGTTAGGGTCTTAAATCCTTAATCCCTACAAAAAATGATTTTATAATTTTAATTGTCTTTTAAAATATTTTTTTATTAGGATGAATGAATGAACAACATGGACTTTAAAAATATCCTTTATTAGGGTCTTAAATTCTTAATCCCTAACATGGATTTATTTGGGCTTGCCTCAAGGGGCTTGGTTGGGGGTCCGGGGCAGAACCCCTGGCCCTGCTGGTATGCTTAAAAAAGAGAAAAATGTGCAAATTATGAAAAGGTGCACGCCTAGGCTGAAGCACAAGACACACTAGGTACATGCCTTTTGAAAGTGTTGTGCTGAAGGCCTAGGCAAGGTGCATACCTTCAAATGCACCTCATCTGTGCAAATCACCCCGGATAGCTGTGACCAACATTTGGTAACAGCCTCTTTTTACTTTACATATGCAGGTCTTCATATTCTTCAATTGTTTTACACATATGCATAAGAAGCATCAATTATCTATCCTTTCTTATTTCTCTTAATGTGATCCATCTTTGCAGTCTCAAGTATATCAATGTTGCTATGGTAACAATCCTGAAAAACATTACCAATGTCATTACTGCTGTTGGTGAAATGTACCTTTTCAAGAAGCAACATGACAGAAGAGTCTGGGCTGCATTGTTCTTAATGGTATCTTGAACATTGAAACCATAGACTGAATTTGAATTAATATGAATATGTTTCTATATGTTGCTAAGTTTTGTGAATTTTCAGCATTTTATGCCGCCCTTGATTTTGTATCTTTTCTAGGATTATGGTTTGATTTGTTGCTGATACCATTATGATGCAGAATGAAACATGATTATTTGACAAAATTACTTATCACTTGTGAAGAGATAAGAGGAACTAATAATTTGTCTGTTTCTGTAGAATCCTCAAGTGAAAGTGAGTTCCTAATAGATAAAATGAAGTTAATCCCACTAGGGTGCAATGTACATGGATTCTATCAATAAAACCATTGAAATTAGCTGCAATCTAGGAATTCTTCTGGGGATACTGGTTATTCTAGGGATCAAAGAGAAGGTTTGTCTACACCAGAGGTATACAATGAAGAGAAATTGGGGAGACCTCAGAAATCATGGGAGTAAATGAAGCTGTTTCACAAGGGATTGAGGAAAAAAGAGGATTGAATGAACAGGAGAGGTTGTGAAGCTGTATGAACAATCAATGGCTTCTTACTTTGTGTTTATTGATGCTCTTGTTGGTCCTCTACGTTTAGAGGTGGGGTCATGGTATAGGACTGGAAAGGCAAAGAGCTAATTAGGTGAACGTGGTGGGTAAAGCAGGAGAAACAATGTAATTTATAGATTATAAAGGAAAATTGGCTAGTGAATGCTTGAGAGTTAATTTAATATAGTTAGAGAATCTAAGGAACAGATTAGTAAGTTTAGGATAAGGAAAAAACAAAATCTTGAATGTGATAAGGTAGAAGAAACTAGATGCAGTGCAACTTAGAATAGCTCTATAAACTATGAGGTATTGCAGCCTCATCAAAAAGATTACAAGGTATCGCAGGGAAAGTGTGCAAGATGCTTGTGGTCACAAAACACAAGGATCACTTAGCACTCAATAATTTCTAATTTCAACAAACTCTTTAAAGCAACTAACAAACACTGACTTAATCTAGAGAAACCAGAAATTACTAAAAACAGTAAAGCATTATTTTTCTATAAACAGTAATTTTGATTTTTTACTAACAATAGTAAATTTCTAGAAATTGAAACTTAACTCTACAACCACCTCCATGTTTTTCTTGAATTGAAACTCCTGCATTAGGTGGAGTCAGTCTGTTGGGTATTATTAGTTATTGGTTGGAGGTGGGTTGCTTGGGGACTAAGCTTTTTGTGGGTGTTTGTTCTTGTGCTTTGTGGGTGGGTGGGGAAGTTTGTTGGAGTAGTTTTACTCTGGTTCACTTTGGGGTTAGTTTTGCTCATTGTCAGGTAATGCTATTTTCTCTTTGCTTTTTCGAGGTGGTGAGCTGAGATTTCTTTTGTAGCTCTTTGACCTCCTTTTTCTTTTTGTTTTTATTTTTCTTTTTTATGGTTTTCCTTGCACATGGACTAGTATTTGACTCATGTTTCTTCTTTTGCCTTTCTTTAATATTCATCTTACAGAAAGAAAAATGGATTCGATTACTGGGAAGAACAAGCTTATAATTGAGGTTCAAGCCATTATTGTAAAATCTCATGAACCTTTTCCTACAGATTGTTACCAATTTGTTCTCTAGGTCTGAATGGAACTAACAAAGGAATTAGAGGAACTAATTCCTGGATTGTGATATGTGAAACATAACTGTAGGATTGAAGTCAGTTTGGAGAGAGGAATGGAAGCAAAAGAAGGAAAGAAATGAGAAGCTAACTTTAGAGGATTCAGAAAACTGGAGTAATACTTCAAACACAGATCAGAAATGTCCAACCCAGATCCCACATCTTTAATATATAATACTAAAATTTGCCATTGGCAAATGGGATCATGTCAGTGCAACTGATAGTTTATTTATTCTGTCTAAATATCTATTTAAAGTAGGGACTGTAAAATAACTAACCAGTTTTACAAGTGTATGAAACCAAGGTTCAAAGTATCCATACTGGCCGATACAACCAGGCTACCCTCTGAACCAGGCCCTGACCCAATACAACCCCTGTAGGGGCGTATCAAGAAGGGGCCCGGTACAATACGTATCGGCTCATATCGGCCGATACATAACGATTTTTTGAACCTTGCATGAAACAACTTGGAACACAGAAAAGCTCTTTCATTTGGATGATCTCAGCAGCACTTTGCACTTGTAATGCAGATCCCACATAGAGATATATGTAAATACATTGTCAGTAGCACAGATACATGATAACTTTCCCAGATAAATCAGGTTAGGTGCATACATGCACAAATATTCTGAAATGACTCTAGTTGATGAAGCATAATAGGAGATCTTAAATGACTATCCTGTCCAACATTTTCGGAGTTCAAATACCATAAATACATAAAGTATCTCAACCAAAGTAAAGAAAAAACACAACATATGTAGTGCTTTCTGATATTAGAACTATTCCTTAATTTGGAATTTACCATCTGAGATGCAAGCATTGCATAATTTAAAGGAACTTGAGTTGGCAAGACAGACAACCTTCCTTGTATTCTTTTATTAAGTGGGGCGGGCTAAGCTGCTCCTTACCTATGTTAATGTTCCATAACAAGTAAACCTGTTTTAGAATAGAAGCTTGTAGGATATTTTCTGGAGGTTTTAAAATTCTAAAATACTAATAATTATCAGATAGAAGAGTAAATAATAATAAAAGCAAAACTATTTGACTGGAACTATACCATCAAGACGACCATTATTATATGCAGCCTGACACTTGCTGTAGTTCCATGTAAACTGCAACCTATTCCTTGGAGCATCTTTATTATATTAGTGGCATTTATTTTTATAGTCACTTCAGATTCAATGGACCATTAAAAAGGTTTTGCTTTAAGTATGCAATACATGAAGCTTTTTCACAACATATATCTTTTTCTTGAGAGGACATATCTTTTATATCATGTGTGACATGATGCAAAATATCTCTTTTAAGGCAGGAGGTTGATAATGTCTTGTTTTGTGCAGATAATTTCAGCAATTTCTGGAGGAATTACAGACCTTTCTTTCCATGCAGTTGGCTATATGTGGCAGATCACTAATTGTTTCTTGACAGCAGCATATTCGGTACATAGAACCATCTTTATCATCACTCTACAAATTTACATCTCAATAGTACTTGGTCTCACATCCTACTTGTTTAATCTATCAATATAGAGGTTGGGAGCACCATAGTTGTTATCTTTCTGCTTTGCTGTAGTCCCTTGAAATTAGCAGTCTTCTGCGTATGATTTTCTTACACATGAAAGATTGAAAGATATCCTTGGAAAATATTCTCTGTTATTCTTTTTTGCGGTATGCAAGTTTACCTTTTCCTCCAATGATTGTGCAGCAATGTGGAACAGAGTAAGAGAATATTGCATCAGTAGAGGACTTGGGACGTAAATTCAATTATTTTCTTCATAACAACTTTTTATCTTTCTATACTGATCATTAAATAATTTAACAAATAAATACAAGTGACAAGTGGTTCAAGTACATATTTTTGTAGAGGCAGCTTTTATATGTTCAATGAAATTAAAGTGATGAGTGACGGAATGTAAGATAATACTTAAGCCTGTTAATTTGCTCTAGATTTTCATTTTCTGATTTGCAAGAACTTTTCCTCCACTCCTAATACGACAAAGAGAAACTCAACAAGGGAGTGGCTTTTGTGTTACTTTGGTTTTACCACTTGGAGGCAACCCTAGATCTACTGATCTTTGGAACCTTGTTGTTGATAGTTTCTCCAAGAAACTTGCTACAAGGAAAAGAATAGCATCTCCATGTGAGGGAGAATTATGCTAATAAACTCAACCATTATAAATTACCTATTTAAGATCTGTCAGTGTGCAAAATTCTTCTTCTAGTACTTAGATGTGTCTCTTCTTGGAAAGTGTCTCTACAGATTTCTATTGGATTTAGATTAGTGTTGGGTTGCTATTATAAAAAGCATCCATGGTATGATGGAGAATGGTGGGAGCACAAGTTTGAATGCAAGGGCCTCTTAATTGTCTCCTTGGAAAGCTATTCCCTCCTACTCCAACCTTTTTTTGGCAACACATCAGATACAATGTTCTAAATGGCTATGGGACCAATTTTGGGAAGACTTATGGTGGGGGAAGTAGTCACTTTAGGATAGATTCCCTAGTCTTTTCTCCTTGTCCCTTTACAAAGATTATTCTATTTCTATTTGTGTATCCACTTTTGAGTAGGGGTTGGTATGGAATTTTGGTTTGAGGAGACTGGAGATGTTTGTGGGTGGGTGAATTTTAAAGTCTTAACTTTTTTTTATTCCTAGTATCCAGTGATTGAGAGATTTAAGAAGAAAAACAGCCTTTTGAGAAGAAAGGATTGTTTAGAAAGTTGCAAAAATTCAAAAGAAAGTAGCAGAAATCAGAGTTCAAGAGGAGAGAAGAAGAAGAAGAAGAAGAAGAAGAAGGTGGCGGCAACTTGGGTTCAAAGAGAGAGATTTTCGAACATAATCTCTTCTCTTACTCCCTTAGTTCTATTTCATTAAGTTAAACTTTAGTAATTTATAGAGAAGCCCCTAGTTGGGCAAAAAATTAAAAAGACATAACATAAGAAAGAATAAAGCCCAGATTAAAGCCCATTACAGCAAAGAACATAAAAGATAAAAAAGGATAAACAGCCAATGGGCCATTCGGCCCATCTTCTCTACACTCCCCCTCAAGCTGAGCATAAATGTCAATCATGCCAAGCTTGCCAATATCATGCTGAAGTTTATCCTTGGGAATGCCCTTGGTGAGGAAATCAGCTAACTGTCCTTCAGAGGTGATGAAAGGTAGACACACTTCTCCA